TACAGCAGCCTAAAGAAGCTGTCACATTCTCTTTTTTGAAAACATTCCCTTTGCTTGGATATCTAACCAAAGGAGCTGTTTCATGGCTATGAATCCAGACTGCAGAGAGGCATCTAGGAAACTTCATGGTACTTCCAGAGAGTACCTGGCTCAGCATACAAGTGAATCCTGTTCTCAGATGTAACTCTCCCTTTACAATGCATAAGGAAAAGAGGTGTCTGCTTGAAGTTACGCAGCAGGGTATCCAATAACAGAAACTAGCATTGTTCCCTGCGTGGCTAATGGAGAGAAAGACCTAATGAGGCCTGTGCTCTAAATCACTGTCTGGTAAGGTGCCTACCTTTTGCCATTGATTAGATGGAGAGTTCAGAGTTTCCATTACCTTAGAGATATAATATAGTTGATGAACCTCAATTATTACTGAATACTAGGGAGTGTGAATAGCTTGCATCTCTCCTTTTAAGTCTAACTTCCCCTTATGGATTTAACTCTTTGGTCTTAGCACAAGAAAAAGTCAGATTTAAGATTATTTCTGGTTTTTCTTTCTTCTTTTTTTTTTTTCCCCCCTGCCAGCAAACGCCAAGAGAGTAATATGGTATGAAGGTCTTTTAGGACAGAAGTATGCTATTCAACATTTGAAAGCAATCCATATCTAAATCCTGATTGAAAATAGCAAAATTACTCTGCTGAAAACTAACATGTCAAGCTAGCCAAGATATTCAAAGGTGATTAAATTTTTATCTCTAGGGAAATCAAAGATTAATATAGAGATAAGAAGCTATTTTTCTAAAAGAGTGATGTCTTGCTTACAGTCAACCAGTCATTGACAGGTGAACCTGAATATTGTGACAATATTTTAAAAAATAGTAACTTTTAAAAATATAATTGCACACATAATTAAATGGTTTAGGGTTTCTTTGCACCTTCTGTCTGTCTTACTCTAAAGCACGTCCTGCTCTGGCAACTTAAATTGCAATTTATTAAACTTCTATAAGTAATCTAATTTTTTGTTTAGTATATGAATTGGAACACTAAGAATATGCTTATATCTGATCAGTTTTCAATAGCTGGAAATTAGAATAGTACTATTAAGTCTCAACTATTCATTTTACTTTCAACCCACTAATCCATTAATTACAAGTAATTTGAACACATACTTCATGCTCAGCAAGAACGGTATGTAAGTTGTAGCATTTTACTATGGCTCCACTGACTTAAATGCAAGAATCTCGCACATTAAACTGTAACTCAAACTTGGTTAATAGTTTTATATTGATACTTAACTGCAACTTCCAAAGAACTTCCTTGATCTCTTTCTTTACAATGACTGCAGCTGTAAAAAAAAAAAAGTTACAATAGTATGGGCTTTTTTGTAACAGAAAGCAAGACCTCTCCATGAATAAAAGGATTCCAACACTCAAGGCATTATTTATTTTGAGATAACTGAAAAAAAAAAAAAACTAACTATGCATCCATAACAACTACGCATGACCTTCAAAAATCACTGGCAGACCAGGAATTAATAACCAGAACACATTCCCTGAACAGTGCAACTGTTTGGATTAATTGCACTAAGAGACTTAATTTTGAAGGATTTGGGAATGTTTTTGCAAGGTTTAGGAAGGATTTCATTGGGATTACATGATGAGCAATTTTAAGTGTGCTTAACTGTTCACATTAACTCTCTCGGCAACCACGAAACAGATCAGTCATCCACTGCTTATTAATTCTTATCCAAGATTTTGTTGCCATAAAAGGAGTATCTTTATAATTCACTGTATACTTTAACCAGCCAGCAGGAAAAAACTTTTGCCTTAGCAAGAATCTCAATGCTGATGTTCTTCAGACTGCTGGATTAGAACAAGGTGTGCTTGTACTCTGCATATTTCTGTTCTCTTGTGTTGCTTTCAGAGAAATGTAACTTCACCATTTCATCTAAAATGATATTCCATTTTAATTGGTCTATATTTGGCCACATGATAATATTCCTTGCCAACACCTTTATTCAAAGCTCTGTTAAGTGCAATTTTAACTTAGGTATTTCAACTGAGCACCAACGTCCTAAGACTAAGATATTAATTCAAGGGAGAAAATGTGCATAAAACAATAAGTTTTAGGAGTTGGATGTCAGTAGCTCTACTTGTGCAAAATAACCACATCAATTTTATGCCAAATGTCCTGCAACATGAACTGGTATGAAAAGCCAAGCAATCAGGTCTTCTATATAAATTCTAGAAAATTTAAATTAAAAAAAAAGGTTTGTATACTTTTCATAATCCCGGGAAACCTGAAGTTTTGGAAAGAAATGTCCTTCTCTCTCTCTCTCTTTTTTTTTTTCTTTTTTTTTTAATAATTTTTTTTTTCTAATGAGGTGACAACTGCAGTAATATAACAAAATGTGTGCCCAGTTCTGCGCATGCTGTTCTATTGTAGGCTATAATCTGAATGTAAATATTGCAAATACCCAAAAATAAAAAAATCAAAGAATGGGGCCTGCGAATGCCATTGGGAAAAAAAACAGAGGCAGTTGTGCACAGAGCTACAATAACAGGGGACAAATTTATGAACATATATAGATTTACGCAATTTCTGTTTTAAAAATAGAATCTGCCTTTCACTGTAGGTAACGTGCCTTATTTCCTACATCAATTATCATTGTACAGAGGAATGCTCTGATTTTTTTGATGTAAAGGCAAACAGGAAGTAAAAAAATAGTCAGATATTAAACTTATACTTGAGTGAGATCAATTTGCTTGTTTGTTCTGGAAATATACATCTTTAATTACGTGTGGGAGATGTTCTTATGGACATTGGATTTTTCAAAATCAAAATAAGGGGTGTACAATTATTGATGGAATGACCTGCCAAGGCATTGTAAATAAATTTGATGAAAAGTTTTATTTAGTAAGTAATATAACTACCTCTTTTTCAAACTTGCATCTTCCAAAATATCTTCCATTGTGACCTGGGAACTGCAGTGTTGAAACTGAATGGCAGCGACTGAGATTTCCTGACTCAAGGAAATATTGTCACAAAAGCAGATAAGACTATTCTACTTGGAATGCTGTAAAACACACACAGTTATATATTTCTCTCTTGGCTGCACTACTACATCATTAAAAAACTGCATCAGCAATAATTTTGCCCAACAACTGTTTTTCAGCTGTTGTCGTTTAGGTACTTTTACCTAAAAACCATCCTGATTTAGAGTTCAGCACTGGGCATTTGTTTCAGATTAGAACTTGTCAGATTGCTATCTCTTACAGTGCTAATACTTCTCCTCCCTTTGTTGTAAATATATTCTCAAATTTTATTAAAGCATATAAACTCCCACATTTTTATCAACCACTTTAATATGAAGTTCACCAATGATAGTTTGTACATATCTGGAACTCAACTTTAAATGGAATAAAAGTGCGTGCAAAAGGTTAGTTACTGAAGAATCTCTGGTTAAAATTCATTTACATGAGTGAAAAAACGGCTAGAGAACCTAATTAATGGTTACTATTGGAGTTTCTGATGCATCTGCAGAATTAGATGTGGAATTGAAAACCTAATCTACTGAAAAACATCCAGTTATGAAAACCCTTATTATGAAAAACATTATGTTTGATAGCCAAGTAACAGGAATTTTGAAAGTGCTTAGATATGAATATAAAACTCCAAGTTATGTACCAATTTCGGTTTTGAAGAACAGTAAGGCGGGACTTAAGGGCAGCAGAAAAATTAGTTTGTGTTTTGCATACCATTTTTTAACATTGGTGGTTTCTCACTGGTTAGCTTAATTCTCTGGCTGCCAATTGTCTCATGTTTTAATTTTGAATGACCAGAGAAAAAAAAAAAAAAAAACCAAAAAACAAACAAATCTCTGAAAGAAAAAAGGCATTTGCAGCAAGGGAAGCATACCCAAACTTTAGTGGAACTTGTGAATTAAGTTTTATTTCGTAATTTAGCCTGATTTAGCCACTTCTTTTCACGTTAAAAAAAAAAAAAAAGTTATTCTTTTAGGAATTAGCACATTTTGATTGAACCCAGATAAAAGATTGGATAATGACTCTTTATATAAAGAAATAACATTGAGAGCTTTGTACACCTTATGGGGCATCAGTGTCTAACATTCTACCTTATACTTTAAGTTGCCTCTAATCTGTTAGAGCTCGTAGTTTATTACGCCCATTCTTGCTTCAAGTGCAGTAGGGAAAGGAGCATTTTCCTTGCGTAAAGCTGGACTGACTGCAAAAACATATTACATACAAAGACTTAAACTAAATTCTAACTGTGCATCGAGTCTTAAAGGAA